TTAGGAACAAACAATCTGATGTGTGAACATTCTCCGAATGGAACTTGTTTGTAAGCCAAGGACTTAATGTATTTTAGATCTGCAGTCAACAGAGCAAGGTGATCATATTAATAATGAACTAGTAGGAAAAAATTAACATAAAAACTAAACAATAAAGTTCAGTTCCATCTGAGAGCTAGTCATTCTAATTTATACCTGTAACACTGTTGATAACAACAAACTACCAATTTTCCAAAATTCATTAACCCCTACATTATTAAATGTCAAGTGAAAGAAAACTACTGAAATATTCAAAGACAAAACGATTATCAAATTTACATATAAAAGAGAACTGCTTTGAATCAAAAAATAAATGTTAACACTTTAAACACCAAGTAAATCACAACAAAGATTACTCCTTTCTGCTCCATAACAGTATTTTTCCCATCAAGAAGGAAAAAAAAAAAATTCAAGAGAAAAGATGCTATTTTTAAAAAAAGTGGAACCAGGCATAGCTCCAGCTACTTAGGAGGCCAAGGGGAAAAGGTCACTTGAGCTCCTAAATTCAAGACCAGCCTGAGCAATAAAGTAAGACTCTGAGATTCTATGGGGTGGGGATAAGTAATCCCTGCACAATGTCACCTAGTCACATAAATAGCATAAATATGTATTACTGTAATTGGCATAGTAGATGCCCAAACTATATTTGCTGAAATTTATTTATAAAGATGATTGCTATTTTCTGGGGAAAAATAAAATTTACATGATATAAACATTCACCAAACCTGTAGATTAAAGTGCATCTAACACAATTTGTAGTTAAGATCTTTAAGATTTTTTTTTTTTTTTTTTTTAAGACAGGGGAGTTGCTATGCAGTTTAGGCTAGCCTTGAGCTCACTTCATAGCTCAGGCTGGTCTCGAACTGACAATGATCTTCATGCCTTAGCCTCCCAATTGCTGGAATTACAGGCATGCACCACTATGCTAGCTAAGATCTTTAAGATATTAAATGCTGCCTGTTTAAGATTAACCTGTAACTTATTTAAAATAAATCAGTATTATATAAATAACAAAAAATATCTCAATTACCTCTGCATTTCATAATTAACTACACAGCACTTACAGTAAACAGGACTAAACAAAAACATCAAAGAAATCCTCTATTTTTTGCTTTATTTACTGATGTAAAGCACATCATTCTCAATATAGCAGCTTGAATTTTAAGCCATATATTCTGTACAGAAACATGCACTTACATTTTTAAGTGAATCAGAAAATAGAAAGTTCACCCATTTTATTTATTTTTATGGTATCTGGGATCAAACTCATGACCTCGCACTTGCAGGCAAGTGCCACTTGTGCTACTGAACTAAACCCCCAGCTCTGCCTGTTTTATTTTTTTACCTTACTACATACTATTTCACTCTTTGGTATAAAACAAGCAAATTAATATTTTGGAGAAGAAATACTGTATATTTTTAAACATACAGTATGTTTCTATTTGCACTATTTTTTTCTCACTTATAAAAGACGACAGAATCATGAAGCACTTGGGCAGATCACAAAAACCATGATACTGCTAACATATAAATGGTAAGAACATGTGGGATGTATATTTTGTTCCTTAAGTATTTAAAACTGTGCAAGGACAAAAATATGTAAGAAAATGTTGGGGCTGGGGATTTAGCTCAGCGGCATAAGCACCTGCCTTGCAAGTGTGTAGTAGTGAGTTCAATCCCTGGTACCGATAAAAAAGAAAAAGAAAAAAAAAAAGAAAAGAAAATGTACAGCAGTAACAAAGTAAAAAGTAACAACCACAAATAATGAAGCCAAAATAATACAAGAAAACTAGATAGGCAAAAACTAATATGGAAGTCAGAATTGGTGGCACGTACTTGAAATCCTACCATCAGGAAGGCATGAGGTTCCCAAAATCAAGCTTGTCGGTGCAATTTACCAAATTAACGAGAACCACCTCCAAGAGGGAAAAAAAAATCTTTTTTAAAGGGTTGGAAATGTAGCTCTGCACGAAAGCCCTGGGCTCAATCCCCAATATCACAAAAAAAAATAAAATAAAAGCCTAATATGCAGAATTGTGTTTTAAATTGAGCTCTTGGGTTTACAAAATAACACTTTGCCAAACTAAGGTAGAAATTTCTAAGAAAAACAACTTTGAGGACTGAAGATATAGCTCAATGGCAGAACACCTGCCTGGCACACAGGAATCCTGGCTTCAATTCCAGGCAGAGCAAAACAAACCAAAAGCCAACAGTGATTGTCTCTTGGCTTTAGGAGCAAACACACATTAAAATATCTCCAATGATGGGAGAGGCAAGGTGGTAGCTCCCTTGGCAGCCAAGTCAGAGAAATAGGCTTTTCAGTAATCAGAAAGTCTGTCAGTGAATGCTCTGTACAAAGACCAGTAGTGCGAATCCAGCTGCTCCAATGAAAACATAGAATGTTCATTTCATTTAGAGGCTTCTATGCAGAATTTATATAATCGATAAAAATCATTTTTTTTAAAAAGGTGGTTTGTTTCATTTTGTTTTTGAAACCAGAGCCTTTGTGCTGAACAACAGTCCCAGTCTTTTTTATTGTTGTTGTTTGTCTTTTAATTTCTTCATTTCAGACAGGGTCTCCTTGTGTCACTAGTTGTCTAAGTTAGGGTCAAATTTATAGTTTTCTGCCTCAACCTTGCAGAGGCTGCAATTACATGCACATGCTACCATGCTAGACTAGTCAAAATCATTTTAGAAAAACAAAACAAGAAAAAAGAAAAGAAAAAGAAATTTCTAAAATTGTTCAACTTATGTACAAAATAGTTCTCTTTGAAGGTACAACGATTTTGACATGGATTTTAAAATCTGTATTACAAATTTCTGGTCCTAATAGTTTCACTCCTATGATACAAATGTTTGAAACAACTTACTAACTACTATATTGTGCCCTTCAGCCAATGGAACTAAAATTTATTACTCTAATGACTGTATGTGCAGGGCTTCTTTATTTACAAAAATCAGTCATAAATTCTTTAACATACAAAAACAAGTGGTATGTTTAAATATTATGGTTTCCTCCAGCTGTGAACTGTAGAAGTGTATATAAGTTTAGATTTTAACATATTCGAGAAATGTAAAGATCAAAAATGAAACATTAAAAGTTAGACCTGCATCAACCCAAATATGGCTGTATCTATCAAGTTCCCGTGGCTTTCAAAAACTTCCACAAATTTAGAGGCAAGGAGGCAACTGGAATCAGTCATATTCATTGGGGTTACTTTTCAAGATTGGAAAATCACGACACTAGACTGTACAAAAGTTGGTTTTTCCAGTGTAGGTGCTGGGGAGGGAGTACAGATAAACTTTCAAAGGGGCTTTCTTCAGCAGTTAAGCCCTGAAAACTAACCATAGGGTCTTGCTCTGTGGCATCTAACATGGCAACGCTCCAAAGTTCTGGGCTAAAAATAGGTAAAGGGAGCAGCTCACTTTTGGAGTAAGCCAGTCTATGATACATTCTCATATGTGTGAGTGAGAACTCAGCCAAAAGAGAAGATACCAAAACCTGTATATTCTCTGTTCACATTTAAATACTCAACTTTAGAGCACAATTTTAAGATTACAGAAACTGATCTCATACATACATACACACACTAATCTTTGCAATCCAATACATAATAGACATCCATTATAAGCATTAGAAAAATAAACAAAGGATTATCAAGCCCTGAACCTCAAAATACACCTCAGATTGCAAAATTTGGAAAGTGTGACAAGAATCACTCTTAAATCTATCTAATCCTTCCATGTTATAGTTGATTTAAAATTTCCAGAGAAATGTACGAAAGATGACTTCCATCTCAAAATGAGAAAAAGTTTCAGGACTAAGGTGGTAACAGTAAAGGAAAATAAGTTACAAGAATATTCTAACAAAGTACTGCAATGTCTAGCTTATGGAAAACCAGGAAGAAAATAATATGTTAATATGGTAACAATTTTTTAAAAGTATAGGTGGCAAGGATGGGGATACACATCTGCATTCTGCATTCAACTAAAGAAAATTACTTTGAAATTACAATGGTAAACTCATCAGAATATCAGCAATAGACTAAAATTTTTGACAGTAAGCTTATAAACCTGAGGCTAACAGCCTCCCAAGACGCACTGTCCTGGCATGGCAACTGTCCCCTAAGTAAAGCCCAGGCAGCACACAGAGCTGACCATCCCAGAACATTTTTGCCTCAGCTGTGCACATCCATTCTCTTGGGATAGAGAACACAAAACTGACAGAACGTCCTCATGACCTGTCAATTAACAAGACCACACAAGCCCAACCGTGAAGCACCGTATGTGCCTGCCACCTGTTAGCAGCTCTTGAAAGAGCCCCAAAATTGAACTCCAGCGAAGGACTAAAAAGCCTTTGTTGTTCTCTAGTACGGAAGTTACCAGACTCCAAATTAACCCCGCGCCTCAAAGCAAAACTTACTCCGGGCGAGGAAAGTCTCCCCAGACTGGGGCTTTAGCAAAGCCCCCTCTAGCTAAGAAAAGGCACAGCCCCCAGCACAGCGTTAAAGTCATCTACTAGCCCCTAGAGAAAGGAAAGGCCAAAGACGTAGAAAGCTGAAAAACCGAGATCCAAGATCTTTAAAAAGGGCGGTTTCGAAGTGAACGAGAGCATACACAACGAGGAGGTGGGCTGTTCGGGGGTTAAAGAACAGTGAGATTCCCGACTCATGGGGTCAAGGAAGAGACTAAAATGAGGAAAACAGAGAGGCAGTGGGTGAGACGAAGGCAAGAAACGCGGGTTCGAATAGGGAGATGACTATGAGCAAAGAAAGACTAAACTGAGGTGGAACAGGCGAGGCCAATGTGAGGTTAAGGATTAAAGTGAGGGAGAACTGCAGGAACGAGGAACAGGCGAAGTGACCCCCGCCCTTAGGAACCGAGGCAAAATTCTTGACCCAACCCCCTACAGGCTGTAATCGTCCTTCCGCGCTCTGACCCTGTCTGCGTCCGAGACTCACCCAAAGGCTATAGAAGCCCCACAATAAGACAAGCTGACCGGCCCAGAAGCCGAGTAGAACCAACAGAGCGCAGGAAACCGCGGTGTTAGTGTGACCCGGATGCGCATCCCTAGGAACCGGAAGTAAGCAGCAGGGTCACCTCACGATCCACACTTAATTCTACCAGAGGCCTCTGGGCGCATGCGTTATACCTTGTGGGGCGGGATGGTGAGTAGGCCACGCCCACTTCCTCGCCCTGATGAGCCCCGCCCCTAGCCACTCCCGGCTCAGCTCCTTTGAGTTGTGCGACCCGATGAGCTTCTTGTTTCTGTGCTGCTTAGCTACAGTTGTTGTGATAGTTTTCCAAAGATTTTGTTTTGTTTTTAGCAGTACTGGGGATTGAACCCAGAACCTTCATATTCAGCTACATCCTCAACAACTTTTTATTTTTTATTTCGAAGTAAAGACCCGCTAAATTGCCCAGATGGGACTCAAAAGTGGGATCTTTTCGCTTCTGCCTCCCATCAAAGAGGTCTTTTAAACATGTTATTCTTAGCTCCTTAAAAGGATAGTGAAGATAAATGCTAGATGAGGATTTAGAAAAACTAGGGAAGGAAGAATGGGTTGGGAGTGTTGCAGACATTTCGAAGGCAAACTCAAGGTGATGTTTTTTCTCTAAACTTATTTTAGTCCTGATGTTATATCGAGTTTAGAATAAACTCCATGTCAGGCTTGGCATGGTGGTGCATACCTGTACTATCAGCAGTAGGGGGGCTGAGGCAGGAGGACTGCTGCGAGTTCGAGGGCAGCCTGGGCTACGAAGTGAGATCAAGGCCAGCCCGAAGTGCATATTGAAACGCTGTTTCAAAAACACAAATTAAAAAGAATATAAAAGAATTAACATCATGCCATGGACATTGTTTTCAGAAACATTTTCAGTATTTTGTAGGTTTAAACTTACAACCAAAATATGGGCAAGGAGCAAGGTTGAGTTCAGTTTTTAGGGAGACCTAGAGTTTGATCGGAGGACCTAAGAAAAAGAATATAGCGGTGGTGGCACACACCTGTAATCTCAGCCCAGAGGCTGAGGCAGGAGGATCACTGCAAGTGCATTCAATGTCAGCCTGAACTACATAGGTCAAAAAAAAAATCCAAAATCAAAAATGATATTAAATATAAAATTAAATATTTTATCTATAATGAGAAAACAAATCACAGTTTTTAAAAAACTAGCTCATAAGTACCACAAACTAGAAATTCAGGGGAAAACCACTATTTTTATTACTTGTTTGGTAGATCTCTTACTTTTTCCTCGTACATTTCTTGGCTATATATTCTTTGGTCATCTCTTTCTATGATGAAAATCTACTAAGCAATATCATTTACGAAACTATTTATCTCCTTTTTCACACCCCACATCTAATTCATCAGCATAATCTATCAGAGCTGCCTTCAATATTTGACGAGAACCAGATTATTTACCTGTTTTGTTGATATATCTCAGTCAATCTGAATGCTCCAAGTATCCCCATGCACTCCCAGTGTTAATACAGTAGCAGAGAGCTCCTGCTCAATCCTCCAATGAACTATTTTGAAGTAAAAACAAAATCTTTATATTGCCTTTACAAAATCCTCAAGATTTGACACCCTCAAATACAACTAACATCTCCTGTTCCCTGTTTTCTCTCTGCATTTAAGATACGCTGGCCTCTTAGCTCTTCCCCAAAGCTGCAGATAAGCTTAGAATGCTTGTGCCTGCTGCCCGCTCTGTCTGAAATGCATTACCTTAAACACCTGTCATTTATCCTGACACTTGTTTTATATCTTAATTCAAATACTACCACTTTCTCAATGAGATCTACCCTGACACTGTATTTAAAATGGAAACACATAATCCTCCTGCTACTTTCTATTCCAGTACCCACACAACTTTTCTCTACTGATATTCATCCCATCCCATAAGTTGTTTATAAATTTAGTTTAATGTCTCTCCCCACCAGAATGTAAGATCCTTGAGGGTAAAGATGTTTGGTTTGTCCATGAATGTATTTCAGCACCAGAACAGAACCTGAAATGTTGTGGGTTTTTTTTTGTTTGTTTTTTTGTTTTTTTTTTTTACTGGTACCTGGGATCGAACTCATGACTGCCTGCTTGCAAGGCAGGCACTTATACCGCTTTGCTAAATCCCCAGCCCCGAACCTGAAATATTGTAAGGGTCCAATAAATGTTTGTTGAATGAAAAGATAAATTCCTTATTTTGTCTTAAGATAAATTGCTCCTTGGTCTTTTCTTTTTGCTGATATGAAACCATGTGAGCTGAGCCACTGAACCCACAAGAGGGAGCCCAAGAGTAACCAATGTAATATCCCCAGGAAAGTCATTCCTAAGGCCTATGCTTACTGTACATACAAACACAAAATGGGAAAACAGAGCTATAGGAAAGCACAGATTCCTCTCCTGAGCAAAGAGTGCTATACCTCACTAGCGATAATAATTTTTTAAAAACCCTCCAATGTTTTTACAGTCCTTTAAGAAGAAAATCCAAAGAACAAAGGGGCCAGGTATGGTAATGCACACCTATAATCCCAACATTTGGGAGGCTGAGGCAGGAGGATTACTGTCAGTTTGAGGCCAGTTTGGGCCACAAAGTGAGTTCATGGGCAGCCTGAACTGCATATCAAAAGCTTGTCTCAAAAAGAAAGAAAGATGGCAAAGATATGGCTAAGATTTGTTCAAGCTGGATTTTAAGTCCTCTAATATTTCTATTATTTTCTATAGATTTGAATTATTTCATTGAAAATTTAACACAAAAATTATTACTATAGTAGAAAATGTTATAGCTAAAAATTTCTAAACAAAAGCTAAAATGTAAATTAAAGCCAAAACACTTAAGACCAGTTACATGTTATACATACGAATTTCCATGTTATTCACATGTATAAATTATATATTTCCATTTTTAAAACACAGTGAGTATATGGCTCATGTTTTGTAAGTTATCTCTATATAAAGTATATTTACATATACATAAATATTTATATTTATGTATATATACTTCTCTTTTTCTTGCCACCGGGGATCAAACTCATGACCTTGTACTTGTCAGGCAGACACTTGTGCCACTGAACCAACCCCCCAGCCCTATATACTTTTTTTAACACAAGGTCTCACTATGTAGCCCAGGCTGGTCTCAAACTCATAGTGATTCTCCTGCCTCAGCCTCCCAAGTGCTGGGATTACAGCATGTACTGCCTTCCTGGCACAGTTACCAATTTAAACTCTCCTGATTGACATATCTGAAATACAATGATGTGGATTTTTAAAATTTCTATTCCATTTCCTTGGTATATTATCTTCATCCTGTCCATAGCCATATTTTCCACATAAACACTATTATCATTTTTTCCAACAAATTAGTCTCAGTTAACAACATCCAAGATCTCTTGCTTGCTTTGTAGAGAATGCTGCAAACAGGTGCTTTAGGAATAGAAATGCATACTATAAAACAATAACCAGGGGTTAAAACTATAGCTGTGAAAATTCACATGAGAAATAAATAGAATAGGCCAGGGGATTTAGCTCAGCGGCATAAGTGCCTGCCTGGTAAGCGCTAGGTCATGAATTCAATCCCCAGAACCAAATAAATAAATAAATAGAAGATTTCCTGCATCCTTACCAAAATCTGCTTTGTATTTGCCAAGACCCACATTCAGAGAATTATCTATTGCTCTATGACTATTCCAAAATTCAGTGGTTTAAAGCAATAACCACTGTATTGTCTCACATATTTTGATTCAGAAATTTAGGCAGGGCTCACCAGGATGATTGTTCTGTTCCTGCAACATCAGTGAGCTACTTAGTAACAATCTAGCTGGGAGATAGGCTAGTCTGTGGATTCCACCCAGCCTTACTTTTGTGGCTGGCGTTTAAGGGGCAAGTCAAAAGGCTGGGTTCAGCTGGCTCCCCTCTCCATGCAGTCTCAGAAGCTTTCCATATCCCACAAGATAGAGCAGGGTGTTTCACTTTCTTACATGGCAGCTCAGGCTTCCACAGAGACAGATTATAGAAGCTCCCATTCTTTTAAGAGTGGCATGGAAACTGACACTGCATCACTTCCATTCCAGTCTATTGGTTAAAGCAGTCATAGTGTTCGCCTAAACTCAAAGCAGGCAACCCCACCTGGGGTCAAAAGAATGCCAAAGTATTTGTAGCCGTCTTTAGTCCACCACAGAATATATACTCTGAATTTTTTCTTCACAGGGTCATTGTCATAACTTATATTTCTGCCACTTCAATAATCTGATGTTCTCCCGAAAGCTCCCAAAGAAGTGTTCATTTTCGTGACTATCCACTTGTTTATTTAACAACTACTTTGTAACACTATAGGAAGATAGAGTAAAAAAATAAATCAGGTAAAAAAAACCCTTCCTTTGTGGAGCTCATATTCACACCATTCCATAGACAGAAAACATCCTTTCCCATTTCACTCTAGGGAGCATCCTTATACTGCAGAAGTGGGAATGTTTAAAAATGGCATTTCTGATGCCCTGTAGTCCCTGATACACAGGAAGCTGAAGCAAGAGAACTGCTTGAGCCCAGGAGTTCAAGAGCAGCCTGGGCCACACAGCAAGATCTCATCTCAAAACAAGTAAGGTGGCATTTCTTGGTGGACACCGTGGTGCACACCTGTAGTCCCCTCTGAGGCCGAGGTAAGAGCACAACAAATTCAAGTTCAGCCTGGTCAATTTAACAAACCCTTGTGTCACAGTAATAAATGAAGAAAGAGGATGGGGCGGTAGCTCAGTGCAAAAACCTTGGATTCAATCTCCAATTACCTCTTACCCTCACCAAAGGCAATTCTCAGGCTCTCTTGCTAGTAGATTTCGGAATGAGAACTAGATATTGCCAACTGGATGCACCTGCATAAGTGTGCAATGTGCAAATGAGCACAAAGCCATTTTTCCTGCATTTTGGCTATTTCTTCGGGTAAACATAATCATCACTGGAGACACAGAGTTTTCTACAGAAGCATGTCAGTTTCTAGTATCCTTCCAGGAATTCTGACTTTCTCATTGCTGAATCTTACTTGCAGAAGTATGTTTATAAAGTGAGTAATTTTAGAGCTGACTTCCTGATTTGCATCTCTACCTTTTCCAATGATTTTTTTTTTGAGACAGGGT